CAGACACAAAAAAAAAAATAAAAAAAAAAACACATCATAGTAAAATTAATACCTTCTCAGCTTCGCATCGAAGCTAAAAACACAACATAGTAAAATTAATACCTTCTCAGTTTCGCATCTAAGCTAAAATATTATGTAGAAAGACAATAATTTTATCTCTCGTAGACGAAAATGTGTCATTAAAATAAGTATGTATAAAATGTCACAATAAAAAACCCACAGTGACCATGAAAAATAGGTATTATATTTACTGAAGAGTGAATTAAAATTAATTCGATAATATTAATCAAGGATTAGTAAATAGAGCACATGTTTTTTACTAGATACATTTTTTATTTATCTCATCATGGTATTTTTACAAGTCAAGGATGGTTAGCTATATGGGAAAACCATAAAAACAATAGGACCACTGCATTTAAGCTATTATATTTTTAAGGAATAATGTTTCAATCTACATAGGCTTTGATATTACATAAAAAAATTATACAGAGGTTTAATATTTTTTTAATAAATTATGGAACTGCACAATATGTATCTAAAAAACTAATTTTTGTTTATGTTAAAATCATAAGTGGAGTTTTAAAAAAAATTGATTTTACTCCCTTAAAAATATGTATATTACATAATGTATAATTTTCCTTTATTTTGAGGTGGCCATCATCTTATTTTTGGGAGGACTTTTTCCCACGAACCCTTCTCAAACTTTGTGCATGGTTAAAATTATAATTAACAATATATTTCTTATATCTAATTTTACAAATTCTTTAAAAACTATTATATTTACAATGTTCTTCACAACGAATTTCTCAAATAAAATTCAATTTTTAAACATAAAAATATTAACAAATTAATATTTGTTTTAATGTTATAACAAAAAGATTTTAATTTAATTGTTATAAGTTAAAAATAACCATTAGAGCAGTTCAAGATGTTAATTTTAAAACAGTATTTTTTTTTTTAGACATAATAATTACAATTTTAATTTTATTTTTCTAAAATAGAAATTCAAAATTTATTAACAGCGTATTGAAAGACTGAATTATTTCTTTTTTTTCTTCTTTTTTGTAACTAAAAAATTATTAAGATTTTTTTCTTCAGAAGTTACATTATTCAAATTTATTTCCCTTTTTTTCTTTTTCTTCTTTTTTTTTAAAAATAAATGATTTACATTATCTTCTTCAAAAGATCCATCATTTATTTTTTTAATTTTTTTATCTTTCTTCTTTTTAGTTTTGTAATCTACATTATTATTTCCAGAGTCATTATATTGTTTATTTAAATTAGCTTCAATTTTTTCATTAGCTAGACCTACAATTTGATCATCAAGGTATGAACATGTTATATTTTTTATTTTATTATTAGTATTTAAAACAAAATCAAAATTTTTGTCTTCATAAGTACTGTTAATGGGAGTCAAGTTTTTCTTCTTCTTTTTTTTAACTTTTACATCAATATGTTTTTCTATAAAAATTGAATTACTATTGTTTATTTTTTCCTTAGAATTCTGATTTTCAATGTCAAAGTCTTTGATTTTCTTTTTTTTCTTTTTATGAATCTTATTACTAAAATCTTCATCTTTTAAAATTATATTCGATTCTTTAATTAATCTTTCACAAAAGTTTTGTTGGAAATTAGAATTATCAATGCATTTTTCGGCACATATACTATCCCCAACCGAGTAATTTTTTTTCTTTTTCTTTTTTTTATTTTTAATTATAAACAATCCTTCATTTTTTGTTTTTTCTGGTGTGATATATTCATTGGTCAAGTTTTTAACTAGATTAATAATTTTTTCATTATGGTGTTTTTTTGGATATTTAATTGACTCTTCCAACTTGTTGGGCTTTGTTTCATCATGAGAAATAAGTGATGAACCACTATACTTTTTTTTTTTTTTTTGGAAATGAGTATCAATTTCTTTATTTATAGATTCTCTTTTTCTTTTTTTACATGGTTTACTAGTAGTATTTTTAGTTGTCGAATTATTACTCAAAAAAGATTTTATAAGTGCATCACTATCACTATCACTATAATTTTTTTCAATATACACAACATTTTTTACATTTTTCTTATCTAATAACTGTGTATTATTTATATACTTTTTAGGAATTAGATCCAAAGTACTATCAACATTTTCACTACTACTATTATTATTATCCAGACTATCAAGAACAGTGTACCTTTTTATTTTTTTAATTTTAACGTTTTTAGTTTTTTCTTTCTTAACATCAGTTTTCAAAGTATTACTTTTGTGGGTATGATCCCCATTAGATTTAACATTATGTAATTTGTCATCTTTAGTTTTTTCAGTAATTAAATTTTGGATTATATCAAGAATATCATCTTCAATTGGATTGTTTTTTTTCAATTTTTCTATCTTAACAATATTATTTTCATTAACATGCTTATTATTTATATTTTTTTTAGCTAAGACAGTATTAGCTACTATTTCTAAATTCAAATTTTCAGTTTTTTGTGAGCTCTCATATTTGCTTTTTTCACAAATTAATTCATTGATTAAATCTGTAATTTTTTTTCTATGTTTCTTTTTTTGTATGGAAGATATCATTGAACTCTTATTTTTAGTAATGTCATTAGGATTAGAAATAGTTGAACAAATTTCTGCTTTAGATGTTTTCAACTCATTAGGTGCTGTAGATGTTTTTGAAGATTCTTGGGATATATTAAGTTTAGAAGATAAATTAATTTCATTGGTCTTAAAACTTTTTTCATAAATAGATTTTAATAAATTATTTTCATCTTCACTAACACTAATATCTGAAGATGTTGAATCTATCCTTTTCCTTGAGACTTTTATGTCATAATTATTAATCTTTTTTGTATTTATAATGCTTTTTTTAATTGAATTATACATTTCATCATCCGAACTTGCACTAGTTGAATTTTCTATAGTAGATATTTTATTGTAAGTTAGTTTTTGATTTTCTTGACTTACAAAATTAAGAAAACTTGTTTCTTCAGGAGATATATTTAAAATACTTTTTTCGTTTTTATTTTTAGCTTTTTTACTACAGAATAATTCATTTTTAGATTTTTTGATACTTGTATCTCTTATATTTTTGGACAAATTATTATTTTGAATATTAAAACTATTCAATTTTTTAGGTGAATTACTAGTCTTTAAACTATTTTTATTTACACTAATTTGATTAACTGAAGTAGAGGACAATAGTTTAGGTGAAAAAAAATTTGTTACAAGATCAATGTTACTATTACCACCATATTTGGTAGAAAATGTTGTACTTTGAATTGGACTTGTTATGTTATTTTTATTTTTTAATGTAAGATATTTATTTTGTAAAGATATAATAGAGTCACTATCAGAACTTTCATTAGGTGAAATATTTTTTACCTTTTCATAAGTCAAATCTTTTTTGAATCCCAAGGAAGTCTTTAACATTAATTTACTTTTATCTTCACAACTGTTAATTTCTGACAATTTTAAACTATTATTTTTATTAGAAGCGTTAGAAAAACTATGAGTAGTGCAAAGAGATATTTCATCAGAATCTTTACTATTATTAAGCTCTATTAAATCTCTCTTTAATATGCTTGTTTTCATTTCATTTAGGTTAATATTTGTGATAGCTTCAGATTTATTTAGAATTTGTTTAGCTTTTTGAGGACTTCTATTATTATCTATCATCAAATTAAAATGTGATGTACTTCCAGTAACATCACTTTTATTTAAATTTAAATTACTAGAACTTATGTGTTTTCTTATATGTGTCTGCATTTGTTCAAAACGTTTTAATTTATTTAAATTTAAAGTGTTAATATTATACTCAGAATTTGAAAGTGGCGTAGAACTAAACATTGGACTACCAACTTGCTTATTTTTTTTATCATTATGTTTCAATGTAAATTTTTTATCACCATCCATTAGTATGTCACGGGAATGAGTCGCTGTTTTACTATTATTTGATAAATCTAATACTTCTTTTAAATTTGATTGATTTTCAGAATTATTTGATGCATCTTCTATATCTGTATATATAGAAATTGATAAATCAGAATTTTCCGAATTATTATTAATAGCCGACTTGAAAGAGTTTGATGTATCATCACTAGTTATACATTTAGCTTCTCGTATTATTTCAATAACAGATCCTTCTCTAGAAGATTCTTTAGCTGAAATATCTTGCACACTTCTAGAATATTCAGACTCCACCGATTTATTATTACTAAAATTAAAAAATTTAGAATAAGAATTATTATAAAAATACTAAATATCATAAATGTATTATGTGGACTCTATTAAAAATAAGAAAACTATTTACTTGAATCATAAAAAATTGATAACAAGTTATAAATAGGTCTTATAAATTTAATTAAGGAGTTTTACAGAAAAACTTTTATTAGGACTGTTTTTAGAAAAACTACATGTAATATTATATTAATATGATACCTTAACTCCATAAATTAAATATTTGAACCTTGGTCAAGAGTAATAGGCTTTGCAATAATTTTCAGATATCGCTTTTTTATAAAATATTGCTTTAATTGAAAATCTCTATAAATTTTTATATCAAAATATTCTCAGAATGAACCTATCTTAATTATTGAGTTAATACATATATATTATGTTTTTCTTTGATACTACAAAATTTACAAAAATATTACATAGCTTGTTATTCCCACCCAGGCACATTTATTTCAAAAAATTATTTTATGGGTATTTAAGTAATTTAATTGAAGATGCTAGTGTAACATAAGTATGTATAACACACTTATAATGTTTGCTATTGTGCTAATTACAATAGCTCTATTTATTTTAACATATCAAGCAAAACATTTTTTTTAAATTATTTAAATACAATAACTGAGTACCTTTAAATAAACAAAATATAATTATTTTAAATAAAATTTATAGAATGAAATTTTATATAAATGTTATAAAAAATTATAAAACTGAAAATAAACTATAAAACCTAAAATTATTTTGTTTTAGGTCTTTAAACATTATTAACAAGATTAAATATTAAATTACAATTTGATTTGTGAAATGTTTAATCATTAAATCTAGTTATATATATATATGTCATGAACTTATAACAATGTGCATTAAACACTGTCATGTAATTTTTAAGCATACTTATTTAATAATTTAATTATTATTACCAATTAGAAACTATTTTTCCAGTTATATGGGGTAATTTTTTTGTGAGATCGAAAGACAATACTTCAACATGTATTTTTTCATTTTTGTTTACATTTGATCCTTCCCAGTAGTCAAAAGTTTGATGTTCTGGTCGTACAATTGACACATTAAACAAATTAAGAACCAAACAACTAACATGATTTTCACTGACTTGGTTGACAACAGCTACAATTGTATGAAAATTAAATTAAGTAAATCTAATAAGGGTTTTTAATCAAATTATTATCATAATTTATAGCCAAAGTGTAGCCATGTTACAAACTATAGTTAAGTTAAATTTTAGAAAATAACACTTTTTTTTATTTATAAAACCAAACTAAGAATAGTTAGAACCTAAACTTCAACTGAAAAGTTATTAGTCAGAGTTTAGTTAGAAATTTAAAAAATTATTCTATTGAAGTTTAATATTTTAAAAGTCTACTATATCATTATTGATTGCGTATTATTTATATGAGGTGTAGATAAAAAGTTTGTGGAATTGTTTTTTTGAATCCAAATTAGGGTTTTTATGACTGGATAGAATTGCATATTGAAGCCTAAAACTTTCTTGTTGATATTTTATAATTTCAGGATAAATAAGTCAGCGTTATATTTTTTGGAGAATTTTTATAAAAGTAAATTTTTCTTTAATGTTTAACCAATACATAAAGTGTTTATTTTAGTAAGGAAACAAGTTTCTATTGTTCTCGTCATAACAATTGACCCGTTTCTTTACTTACTGAACACTCTATATATGTTTTAATAATTATTTTGATATTTTTAATTAATTGCATTTTTAATAAAGATAAACATAACAAGAAATGTGAAAGTAAAAAAATTGAATTCTGTATCAAGAAAACTTTAGTACGCACTGTACTTATTGTATGAAGTTTAACCTTCAAAATTAATAATACACCTTGGAATAACTAACATGATTGCCAGATTTAGTTCCCAGAAGAATTTTTGGGTCATAAAATTAAAAATATTAAGTACAATGAAAATTTTGGCAATGTAAAACTCACCAAAATGGAAACATCAAAATATGAAAAAGGACTACAAAAAATATGTTTCAATCACTAGAAAAATAAAATAGTAAAAATAAAAGATTTTTAAATTTTGCCACTTACGCTCTTAGATATTATTGTAATGCCTACCAGTTTTTGATTTTAAGTATTACAACTAAAAATTTTTTTATAAAAAATATTTGCATCTTTACTAATTAAGAATTATTTCAAAAAGTAAAAGTGATAAACATAAATAATTTTAAACTTACCAATAAACTACAAGAATTAAAAAATAATAGTTATTTTTTAATATTTGTGATTATTTTTTGAAAATTTATTAATCAATTTCAGCAATGTTTTAGGTGAGCAAAAATAAATTTTTAATTTCCATACATCTTAAGAAAGTTGATATTTTTGAGATAAAAAAACATACCCTTCTTTATAATTTAATCATAATTTTCTAACATACAAAATAAACACATCCTTCTGTATTCTTAGAAAAAACCCATTTCTATGATTTATCAGTTTTTAGATATAAGCCACAGTATTATTCAATATAATCTTATAACTTCATTAGGCAGTTCTTAAAAAAACAATTATTTTCATTTCAATACCTATACCTTCGAAAATTGTTTTAATGCTTGAGCTGTGCAAATTTTGAGAAAGATATAACGAAATTAACTCGAGTCTTAAGCTTCTGAAGTTGAGTATAATTATCATTAAAAAATAACCACAGGTATTAAAAAATAAACTTTATATTAATATTTTTTAACTCTAATTCACTACAGGAAAATTTTAAAAAATTTGTTTACTAAAAACACTATATTTATAAAAATTATATATTAGTAAATTTAATTTGAAATCTAAAATAGCTGATAATTGTCACCTATCTAGAGAAAATATTTGCTAAATAACCTTCAATAACTGATCCTATTGGTGGTCTAAAAATGAAGACATCAACTTTTACTGACACACTAATATTATGTCTGTTATCTGCTTGAATTACATCTTTAGATTTAATTTGACCAAATTCCATAATCAATCCTTCCAAACTAGAAATACAAAATACCACAATTATAAAAAAAAAAAAAAATTGTAAATTATTTTACACTTCAAGACTTTAATTTTTTAGTTATCTGATGATATAAGTATCGGTAAACTTTACCCAGTAACTTTACACAAACATATTTTTCCTCTAATACTTCCTAAGGGCAATTATAAACTCTCTTAAAATTAACTGCCACTGAATTACTCATATGAAAACTCTTAAAAATTAAATTGCTTCTGTGTTACCAAATTTTGTCTAAAAAGTAAACTACCACATTATTACCTGTATGGATACACTTATTAAGTAAATAAATTACAAATAAATAAGTATATTTAATTAATGATGTAATTACTAAATAATTAAATTTTAAAAACTTATTGTTCATCAGTTAATTATAATTAACTGATGAATAAGTTTTTAATAATTATTAAATTCAAACTTAAATAAAAAAACTATTTATTGTCTATACATATTATTATGAATTTTGTTATTGGTATTATCATATTTTATAATTTTATATAGAATTACCATGAAGTATAAATCTATGAAAATTACCCATTATTATTTATTATAGTGATAATTAGTTTGATAAATCAATTAAAACAAGTTTAGTGGTAATAATAACAACTTAGTTTGGAAATTTTTGTAGTACTGACTATTTTATAAAGTCAAACATAGAGTTTTTTCTCAGTCAAAGAAAATAAGTTTCGTAATAATATGTATAAATATTATTTATAATGTAGTTTGCCATTGAGTGAAGAAAAGTGACAATGTTATACTAAAAGATATCTGGTTTCGCCCTCTCTTACGTTCAAAACTTAATGTAAAGCTAAAAACACTCATCTATAAAACTCTTCTCTTTCCACTATGGTTTTATGGTATCCAAATCTGGGGCTGTGCCGCTCCATCCAACATCCAAAAAATCCAATCCTTTTAATCCATTTGCCTACGATCACTCACCAATTCCCCTTGGTACGTCCCTAATAAAACTCTCCATTCAGATCTTCAAATTAGTTATGTTAACAATATCGCCAGAACTGCTTACCTAAAACTTCATAAAAAATTTAACTCTCACCCAAACCCTAATATTCAATACCTCTATTCAAAGCACATCCCCGACATCCGCCAAGAAGATTAAAAAGAAAATGATGTAGAGACCTCCTACAGAAAAAAAATATATATATATATAATCAAAAACAAAATTCAAAGTAGGTAGCTCCATTGGGTGCCCCCCTACTGCATGCTATTCAAATCATATTGTAATTTTTTCACTACTGTTAACCCATTTACGGTTGTGCATATATTTTGTATAGATGTAAATTTTATAAAGTTATTTGAATAAATAAATAAAAAAAAAAAAAAAAAATATCTGGCATATTTCAAATTATTAATTTGTCTTATAACGACATGCAATGAAGTTTATTATCAGAATTCGTACAATGCCAAATATTAAGTTTGTCCGTGAAACAAAAAACAATAAATATCTTTGTTTTAAAATATTATTTTTCTATAAAATGTATTTAATAACTATAAATAAAATAGACAATTTCCATGAATTTTCAATTATGAATGTGTATTCTATATCTGTTACTATAAGTATTACCAAATATGCAAGCTTTATTTTGTTTCAAATAAAAAAAATATTGGTTTAATAGTATAATTATTTTTCAGGGGTCTATATATGGGTAATTCAAAGACAGTTCATTTTTTATTGAAGTTTACATATGGCCTTTCTAAAACTTAGACTTAAGTTTTATGTGAACCCTCAATAAGGTATGTTACTGTTTGGATCATTTTTAATAAAAAACTAGTGATAAGAAAATAAGATATATTTAATTTTTATCTACTTACTCTGAACAATACATGTATTTTAACTTATTCAGCTCATTCCTAACAGCTTTGGAAAATATTTTAAGGTTACTAGGTGCAGCAAAAAATCCTAATTTCAAACGATAAGTATGATTTTTGTGTAAGAACACAAATGGAGGTAAATTTTCTGGATCCATTTATTTTTATTTGTAAACGTAGTCATAAAAAATTGTTTTTTTTTCAATGAAATATATCATTAAAGAAATAACTAATTAAAGGTAAAAAAAGTAAATTCTTAATATCATCATAAAACAATTCTGAAAAATCAAAATGTGCGTTTCCTCAATAAAATATGATAAGAAATTATCTACTTTAATTTAAAGTAAATAGCTGATTAAAATGTATATATGAAAAGCTTTGGAAACACAGAATAGATAATATTATCTTATATTTTCTGTGTAGTTACTATTTAAGGGGAAAACACCTTTGCCACGAACTGATAGTGCTCCGACATTTACATACTTCGACATTTGACAAAGTAGTAATTGTTAAGAAAATCTGGTACTCCGACATCTGATACCATAGCTTACCAAAATTACAACGGATTTTACTCAGACATTAAATTAAAATAAATATAGTTTAAAAAAACTAAAATAACACGCTTTTAAAGCACATCAAACTAAAAAGTTAAAAATAATTTTTAAAATAAGTTTAAAATAATTATGAACAAAAAATACTTGTATTATTGTGATAAAAGCATCGGGCGCTCAATATACGAAATATATGGCACATAGCACCTACGCTTTTATCACAATAATACTAGTATTTTTTGTTCATAATTATTTTAAAAGTTATTTTTAACTTTTTAGTTCGATGTACTTTAAAAGCGTGTTTTTTTAGTTTTTTTAAACTATAATTATTTTTCACTTTTTAGTTTTATGTTATGATAGTAGTTGCTATCAATATCATGGTTGTTACGGGTAACGGGAAATCAGGGTTCGATTCCGGGGAGAGTTTCTGAGAAACGGCTACCACATCCAAGGAAAGCAGCAGGCGCGTAAATTACCCATTCCCGGAACATGGAGGTAGTGACGAAAAATGACGATACGGGAATCATCCTTTGTAATCGGAATGAATACACTTTATATCCCTTAATGAGAATAAAGTATGTTAATATATATTTTTAATAGTAATTAGAATATATATATATACATGTAAAGCGACTTAAGTACGTAAACGTATCATCATATATTAAATACACATAGATAGGCCACGGCATTCAGACAATTGGCAACCGATTTTTTGTTAATTTATAAACGTAAAGATAGCGCTATATATCCTCTCGGAAATATTAAATATTTAATAATAACTGTCCAGTTTACTGATATTCAAGTAATAGTCACGATTATTGATGTACGGCTAACACCGTTAGCGTAAATTAAGATAAGAACCAGTTATTACTAGAGATGGAAAGTTTAGTTCATTTCTGTGAATAGTTCATTAGTTCATAGTTCATTCAAGTGAATAGTTCAAATGAACTATTCTTAAGTTCACTAATTTTATTGATCATGCTGATATTGTTTGGCAATGAACTATTCATTTTATCACTATTAGTATAGCAGTACACAGTTCAGTTGTAGTTCACACTACTTATGGGCAATTAAGTTATAAACTAACCCTTAACCTGAACATCATAAACTAAGAAAAAATTATTATTAATACCCTCATGGCTCATGTTATCATTATCACCTAATTCAAGGTAGATATACTGACCAGTAGTCTTAAGTTAAATCAGAAATTTGATCTAATATTTTTACATAGTATGAATTTATTTTATTGTTAAACAGTTAAAAACCCTGTAACATTTTAACAATATAATTTATTTGTTATCTAATTGTAAACAGCTATTAACCATTTACAGTATTTCGAACAACGAACCACAAAGAATTTTTAAAGAAGTTCGCGAACTATTTCATTTATACATTGCTACCAATTTTTTTCGAACTGTGAACTGTTAAGTTACAGGTACTGAAACAGTTCAGAATAGTTCATCTAAGTGAATAGTTCAAATGAACTATTCGTTCACGAACTTAACATCTCTAGTTATTACTAAAAGGCGATTGCTTATTTGATTTAAATGAAACTTTTCGTTTTAAATACAAATTCGATAAAACATGTGTTTTTTATTTTATTAATATTGATTTAAATTTGACTATTATTTATTTTTTTAAATTTTCACTTAGTGTTGAAAATTTTAACTTATTACATAACAATTTCTCGCTACCGATTTGTCCACTGTCAAGATTTTTATATTATTTGGTGTTTAATTTCTTAACTTACCAGTAATCAAGTCTAATAAAGATATTTATTAATAATTACACATATTATAAGGTTTTCATGTATAATATTTGTAATTTAGTTTTTCAAATATACAATGAAATATTAAAAAAAACGGTATCACAGTGGGGTCGAGGCACAGTGTAGACAAGGCATAGATGGGACAAGTATAGATGATATATGACAGTGATTAAAATCACTATCATAAGAAACGCTTCGATGCAAATCTGTAGATAGTGTTTCATTTAGAGAAATTGGTGGATTATTCCAAAAGCAACATCAATTCTTATTTCTTTGATTATATCCTAATTAGTAGATCTTTGATTTTAGAATATAATATATGAATAAATACTAATTATAATTATTAAATTTAGTATGAAATTGATATTCAATAATTTAATATTGTAATTTAAAAAATTCGCATCGAAGCTAAAAAATTGGCTATTTAAGCTAACTCAAATTTAAAAATTATTTTTTCGACTTTAAAAAAGTAAAAAAATTTATTAAGTTTAATTTCTTATGTCTTATGAACTTCATTCTTTGTCAATTAAGTTATATAATATTCATGAAAGTCAATATATTCTTCTAATAAGATATTTTAAAATAAAATAAAATACAAAACGTAGAATTTTAATAGAAAAATAGCATATTTTTGAATACGGTAGCCATTTGCGCATAGAAGATAGGTCGTCGGACAAATTTTTTTCTCATTTTGTAGTACATAAAATAAGCTTTAATTTGATATATGTTTAAAGGACGCAGTATTTCCGGAATAGTTTCAAAAATTAAGTTGAAAAAGTTAGATTTTGTAAAAAAGTTGCTATTTTAAATTCCCCCCAATGAGCAGGTTAAGTGTTAGATTTTCAAAAAAATGATATCAAATAAAAGGAAAATATCTAAGGTTTTAGTATAAAAGAAAATTATGTTGATTTGTTTATTTTTGAAAAAGTTATGGAAGTTTTAAGAAAAAAAAGTGAGAAAAATGACAAAATTTACCGATTTTTAAATTTGTAATTTTGTTGATATTTCCCCCATTTGCAGGGAATGAGGGAAAATTTTTCAATTTTTAAGGGTAATGTCTTCAACTAGATACGATTTGTGATCTTTTAACGTATTGTTAAAAGAAATCGGTCCAGTGAGAGCTGAGAAAAAGTTGCAAGACATAAAAAAAAAAAAAAAAAATTATAGTAAAATTAATACCTTCGCATCGAAGCTAAAAAAACAAATTTTAATAATATATAAATTAAAATATAAAATATAATTTAAAATATAAAAATTTTAAAAACAAATATTTTAGAAAAAAATATTTAAACAAATAAAGCAATTTTAAACGAAGTTCAGATCACTAAAAATGAAAAAATAAAAAGTTAAGATATGTTTTTACCGCAATTAAAAAAAATACACTTATTTCCATGTTGTGTACTCATTGTTATAATTATAATTATACAGATAATAATACAAATAAATATATTAAATGGTAAAACCACGCAAAAGGGACCTTAGTCTTCAGTACTCTAGTGAAAATATGAATAGTGATTATGAAATAGGGAAGATTTTTTATCTAGTTGGATATTTTTACATTGATAGGTTTTAAAAACAACACAAAAATACAAAATAGGCATGATAATTCGTGTTACAATAAGATGTAAACATAGCTAATACATCCTGTTTTTAATGCAATTCCAAATATAATCCTGGCGCCGAGATATCGTATTATTAAATCGTTCTCTTTTCGTGGTCTATAGTACAATTGTTTTACGATCTCTCAAAAAGTGTTAAATTTTATTTTTAATCGTGTTAAGTTTGTAGGGTTACATGAATTCATGAAATTAGGCTTGCCAGAATCTATCATTAAAGTAAAAAGGACNGAAATGACCCATACTAATTATACAACTGGATATATATCTCTAGCTATATATATGATCTTATAGTAATTAAGAAAATGTTTTTATTGGAAGTTGTATTTATAATTTATGCAATCAATTTAATGATATATTAATTTTACCCGGTGATAAATTATCTTATACTAATCAAATTGTACATAAAATAATTACTCCTAATGCTCATCCAATTAATATAAAACAATACAGATAGGGACGTCGCGATACTACCGATACGAGTAAAGTATCGTTACTTTTCTTTCGATACAAGTACTTTTTGTATCGATACAATTGTTTCTTTTATTTAAACATTTTGTTTATTAAATTATTTTTCAAAAAATTATGTCTCCTCCAAAGAGCAAAGTTTGGATATATTTTAAAAAAATTGACACTGTTCTTGCATTATGCAAGCATTGTTCACAAGATGTACGCTATTGTGGCAATACTTCAAATTTATCCAAACATTTAAAAAAACATCCAAATTTGACTAATACTAAATCATCCATAGTCAAACAGTCAAAATTGACTATCACTCAAAAGTAAGTAACTTATTAAATCGTTTATTTATTTTTGATTGAAATTGAATCGGTAATTTCAAAAACAACATGTGCACTATTTTATAAATGTAGTTAAAAATACACTATTTAAAACCATAAATAATGAATATCACAGATTCGCAAAATAAATTTATGTATAAGTGAATATACAAACAAATGTAAATTTATGAAGTTATTATTAAGTTATTTATAATTTGTGTAAAATTTCAATTTTATGACATATGTTGTTTTTAAAATAACTGATTCAATTATAAGTAATGTTACTCTATCAAACACTGATGTTTATATATTTTCTGTAGTTCTGTATCGTCATTGCCTACATTGCCAAAACCTTGCTCATCAAATACTTAGTCGCGACAACTAACGCTTTGTATGGAAGACTCTGAGCCAGAGGTAATAATTATTAATTATTATATATGTTGTATAATTATATATATAGTGTGTTTGTGTATTTGTATTTATATAATAGGCATCTAATTTTCTGTGGTACGGCAATAACTGGGTATACATATTAAAAATATAAAATAATTGTTATCATCGGACTGGTTTATTGATACTTTGGTAAGCGATGAATACATAACTATTTTTACAAAATTAAATTATCATATAATTATTCTTAGATTTGTATCTAATAATTAATTTGTTTTTAGGAATGTGTAGACGATCCACCACAGGCTCTACAACGGCTAAAACACCCTATTGTTGAAGCTTTTCAAAAAATTAGCTCATATGCAGGTATGTTTATCAGCATAATTTATTGTTGTTTATGTTATTAATATCGATACTTTATTTTTATATTTCAGAAGGTGGTCATAATTTTCGTAAAATAACTATGTCATTACTTTACTTTATTTGTAAAGATTACCGTCCATTTTCTGTAGTAGAAGGAAAAGGATTTAGACGGTTCATTAAAAAATTGGCACCATCATACAAAATTCCCTCTGTTAAAACTGTAAAAAATGCCCTTGATAATAAGTATGAGGTTATTATAGCTGCATTAAAATTGCGTTTGTCAAATTCACCTCATGTATCTCTGACATTCGATACATGGACAAAGACAATGTCAGAAAAAAGTTTCTTGGTATAACCGTACATTTCTTAGAAGATATTTCTCTGAAATCATTTTGTTTGGCAGTTACTGAGTTAAAAGAGCGGCATACTGGTCAATATATTAGTGAACAGTTAGAAAATATTTTATCAGATTGGGAAATAAATCAAGAAAAAATTGTAATTATTGTGACTGACAATGGTGCAAATGTTGTTTCTGCTGTTCACAAAACTTTTGGTAAACAGCGACACATTCCTTGTTTTGCTCATACCATCAATTTAGTTGCAATACATATAGTAGGGCAAAAAAAAATCAAACCTATTATTTCTAAAGTTCGAAATATCGTAAAGTGGGTGAAAAATAGCGTGAGAGTTAGTGATCTTTTAAGAAAGAAGCAGTCGGAAAACGGAGTTCCAGAAGGGTCAATGAAAAAATTAANCGGAGTTTCAGAAGGGTCAATGAAAAAATTAATATTAGATGTTCCAACACGAAGGAACTCTGTTTTTTATATGATCAGTAGATTTGTAGAGATGGTAACATTAATAAGTCCATTACTAATCAAAGATTATACTGCTCCTGTGATGCCAACTGCGATTGAAATGAATACGCTCAAACAATTGTTGGATTTATTAAAACCATTGGAATTTGTGACGAAAGAATCTTCTGGGGAAAATTACATTACAATTTCCAATGTCATACCAATGATCAGCTGCTTGCAAACCATATTTTGAGGTAATTTGTGAAATTAATGACTTATTACATGCTGAACTGACTCGAAGATTTGGAATGATTGAACAGGTCAAACCAATTGCAATTGCTACACTTCTGAACCCAAGATTTAAAAATTTACATTTTAATGATCCAGTAGCTTGTTCAAGTGCGATAGCAGATTTAAGAAAGTTGTCAAAGTTGGACACCATTTCTTCTAATGAGTCAGAAGGAGAACATTCTAAAACAGACAACTTCGATTTTTGGGCACATCATAAATATTTGGTTCATGGCCAAAAAAAGAAAAAGACCACAACTTTTATGAACGATGAGTTATCGTTATACTTATCAAATCCAGTATCAACCCTGAAGTCTGATCCTCTTGAAATATGGGAGGATATGAAACACGTATTTCCTATTTTGTATAAACAAGCGAGTTTGCACATTTCACCATGGTTGCAACATCTGTTCCTTGCGAACAACTTTTTTCAAAGGCTGGAGCAACATTAACCAAATCTAGGAATCCTTTAACTAGTTCTCGCCTTCAAAAAATATTATTGTTAGCTGATATCCCAGAAGAAAATTGGTTATATTTTTTATATTAGTATTTTTTTTATGTACCTATCTGAAGACTGGCTAATAATGACCAATTATAAATTATAATATTATTAGTATTTTGTATAAATTAATGTATAATAAATAATAAAAGACAATTTGTATTTAAAATTTATTACGTATATTTAGGCTTTTAAATATAATTGCAAATATTTGGTTTTTACTAGTGGATAGAAATAGAAATAACAGAGTAATGACTATAGTCATTGCCCATTGGTACTAATTATACAAATATTTTTAACATTCATTAGTATCGATATCAGTAGGAATCGAATCCTAAAATTACAATATTTCATAATTCCATACAGTATAATTTGATTCTGTGAAATATAGGTTTATAAAATGATTTGATACTTACTGATATCGATACATTTGTTTCGATATTTTACTGATATCAATAATTGTATTCGATACTAGTTTCAATACTAAGTATCGATACTTTCTTTCGGTATCCTATCCCTAAATACAGATACCCTATGTGTCATAACGAGGAAGTTGATAAACAATTAAAAAAATTTTTAAAGCAAGGTAGCATTGAAAAGTCAAATAGTCCATGGAACTCGCCTAGAATTTAAAATTTTATAAAGGAATATATATTTTATGTTTTGTCTGTTAATAAATATATGTTTAATTTGTTTTATACTCTTTTTTTTGTTATTTTCATAAAAATTATAAATTAATTGTTCAAAATAAGAGTTATATAAAAGATTAAATTATCTAAATTATTTTTAATATGTCATAAATATAAAAGAAGACTTGTCCATCTTCTCAGTGGTCAGTGTTCTATCAGTGAATGTTATATTATAATTAGTTATTATTTTTCCTGACAACATTTATCCGCGTTGTCAAATTGGACTTCCAACACTTAGTTTACCACTTATTATTTGGCATCCCTGGAAAATTTGGTTTCAATTTGTTACCACATACGTAGGTAAATTTAATGGGATACTATTCTAAAATAAATGAAATATTTGAAGCGGACTTAATAAAAAGAAAGCCATTTATGTACATCTAATAGTCCATAATAATATATTTTATTATTGTGGAATATTAGATGTGATTATTATATATCTTGATATAGTAATACAAATACAAAATAAGTATAATATAAAAGCTTTGTGATATTGGGGCACAGTTCACATGATGATTTTTATCATAAAGATTTTTCAACTCATCCTAATTACAAATTAATTTATCTGCCACTGCTTTCTGTTTAAAATAATTTATAAAAATATTTAGAGGCCAACAGTTTAGTCTTGTACTGTAATACCACATTTTATGTCAAAGTCCTATTAAGGATTCGTAGTATAGTATTAAAATAAAAAATTAAATAAAATTTCAATGAAAAATAATTACAGAGTTAAAATCATAAATAACCTTACATTATATCATAAAATGCAATTAACGTATATAACAATAACAGTTAATTATGTGTATCACACATTCATTTAATAATTATTAAAGATTTAAAATACCACGTATATTTCAACCAATAGAAGCACTCAAAATTTACGCTATCTATCAGCATAATCGCCTGCGTCCAGCGCATCGTTTCCCTGCGTCCATTCATGATAAAAATTGTGTACGGCGTGGTCTATCTATATATATTTAATCTATGGTATAGCCGTGTTTTGTGGGCGGGCGTGTCGGACTAACGTTATACCTGAGGTATAAACGGCGGCAGGAATATATACGTAAGCCGTATGGTACGCGGATAGTATTGGTCAGTCAAAATAAAAATTTGTTTATATATATATTTATATATAATATTGATGACACGCACGTGTATACGGATACGATAACCAAAAATAAATTTATACAGGAATAGTATTGCCGACGTGGGTTGAGCGAGGCGTGGGGTGGGGTGAATGCGTTATGACAGTCTAGTCTAGACAACGGAATATGCGATAACGCGTGGCGTTTGGAGAGTTACAAACATACATACATACATACAGGTGAAACTAATATAAACGTGTTAATAATAACATGTATCCTTCAACTCGATTCTCCATTTTAAAACGCTAATAACTTCCCAGGTTTTGGTCCAAAAATTGTTGTCGACCAGTCATTTTCTTAATTATGTTATTTTCTATTTTATAAGCTAGTTTAATATGTATGTTGCCATTTAAAAAAAGTTGACACCCCTGTAAGTTATAAGAAATAGGTCTAAAAATTATTTTACAAAAAAAACATGAATATAAATGTGTAGCCAATTAAAACTTGAAAATATAAAATCAAAATTTTTTTTTAATTTTTGATAAGAATGTCTTCTTTTTCTCACCTTGCGAGCAACATATTTTAAGTGAATATGAAATTTTCTCAGACTCCCTCACCGGAATCGAACCCTGATTTCCCGTTAACCGTTACAACCATGATTGTAAAAATATATTGAAATGAAACTGTACAATTCCCAGAGTAAATTATTTCACGACTTTATACTTTTAACGTTAAGTTAATTATCTTAACATAAATGACGGATCGAGGGGTTTTACTTGACAATCGTATAATATCAATTCCAAACAATAATTTTATTATATATATATACAAACTAATAAATATTCAATATATCAATATATTAACATTAGAATGTTAATATATTGAAAGCAGTCAGAACTGGACCGGCTACACACATAACTTTTGAACAATGATATTGATAGCAACTACTATCATAACATGAAACTAAAAAGTGAAAAATAAATATAGTTTTAAAAAACTAAAAAAACACGCTTTTAAAGCACATCAAACTAAAAAGTTAAAAATAATTTTTAAAATAAGCTTGAAACAATAATGAACGAAAAATACTAGTATTATTGTGATAAAAGCGTGGGTGCTTTGTGCTATATTTTTCGTATATTGAGCGCCCGCTTTTATCACAGTAATACTAGTATTTTTCGTTCATAATTATTTTAAAAATTATTTTTAACTTTTTAGTTCGATGTGCTTTAAAAGCGTGTTTTTTTAGTTTTTTAAAACTATATTTATTTTTCACTTTTTAGTTTCATGTTATGATAGTAGTTGNTATTTTTCACTTTTTAGTTTCATGTTATTATAGTAGTTACTATCAATATCATGGTTGTAAGGGGTAACTGGAAATCAGGGTTCGATTCCGGAGAGGGAGTCTAAGAAACGGCTACCACATCCAAGGAAAGCAGCAGGCGGGCAACGTGGTGGTAATGACGAAAAATGATATACGGGAATCATCCCCCGTAATCGGAATGAATATACTAGATATCCCTTAATGAGTATAAAGCGTATTAATATATAAATTTTAATAGTAATTAGAATATATATATATATATATACATGTAAAGCGACCTAAGTACGTAAACGTATCACGCATGAGATATAGCCGTGTTTTGTGGGCGGGAGTGGCGGGGGGGGGNGGAGTGGCGGGGGGAACATTATACACGAGGCATATACGGCGTCGGCTGTAGGAATATATGAATATATATATTAATATTAGCGGTGGCGGTAGGCACTTTCGCTGGCATCGACGACACGATGTTCGGCGTGATCCTGGGGCGTCAAAAGGTTAGCAGCGTAGATGACGACGGTGCGCGAGTGCGGATCGGTTTGTTGACGTTGTCACTTTGACAATAAGAAGAAGACTACGGTGTCATTAGCGGCGGGACATCGTGCGGCACTTGCTGGACTTTGCACCGCGGCGTATAACGCGCGGTGTTGGTCAGTTAAATACTCATAAAATAGGGCGACGGCTGAAAAGGTGGCACGAGTCGTGGGGCATCGTGTATAATGAAACGACGCGAGGCCGTGTCAATCACAATAAAAATTTGTTAAATATATATAACTGATGACACGCGCGCGTCTACGGGTTGGAAAATATTGTTCTCTACGAGAGGTGAGCGGGGTGGGGCGAATGCGTTACGACAGTCTAGTCTCAAGGTCATACACGACGGGATACGTTACATAATAACACGTGCCGCGTGGAGTTACAAACTTACAAACAACAAACATACATGTGAAACTAATATAAGCGTGTTAAAAATTTGTTTATATATATATATATAATTAATGTCACGCACGCTTGTACGGGTACGAAAACCAAAAATATAAAATTATACAGGATTTGTGTTGCCGGCGATTGGTGA